TGTGGTGGGAATAGATAAGCCACAGTCAGGCCTGTGCAACAGCCTGGCTTTTTTGGCAACACCACCCAGCGAAAGCTATCGCCCTCGGCCACGCGGCCGGCTACTCCCTGGCCCGCTTCTCTCAAAACGATCCGAAAACAGGATTTTGCAAAGCCTGCTCAATCGCTTTGATGGGAGCGGAGAAATCGGTAGCTACGCCAGGGAGCAGAGCCGGGGCTGCGCACCCGGCCATGCTCAACGGCGCTTCTCCCGGCGTGACCGCGGCCAGGGTAGAGGCTACATTAGCTTAAAAAACCCCACTCCGTCCCTGTAGCTTTGTAAAACTATTCCACGAAGCCCTGCAGGATCCTGACTCACCAGGGCCCTACACCCTTCACGTGTGCATGAGTTTTGCCCTGTAAAGTTAGCATAACAAGGCGACTCCCCGACTGCACAGGGGAGAAGCAGAACAGCCGCTATCAGCTTCTTTCACCAAAGCTGTTCAAGCAGGTTTTAGACTAGTTTTACAGGTTTAGCTTGGAGGGATTTGAAGGGAGCCGTGTTTGTTCCCTACCTTACAGCCGATCCACTGCGGCTAGCTCTGCCTCGCGTGCCCGATACGAGGTGTTTGCCGGGTATCGAGATGCAAGAGCACGTGTCCACCATGCAAGCATTAAATATATCTGTGTATATCTGACACATATAGAAGCATATATCCGACACGGACAGCGAGACAGACCTGTAACCCCCAAGCACGAGCGCGCTTCCCAGGCTGCAGCGTTAGAAGCGACACAGCTCCCTGCGGCCAGCGCGCAAGATCAGAGAAAGCTCGATTTTAGCATCCGTCAAACGGGATTCGGCATTCACTGCCAGGAGTTACCCCCAGGCAGAACGGTGCCGCATGAGGTTTTTGGGTAGCTGGTATCCAAAGATCCGCGACGAGCCATGGGATCGGGAGATCCCAGCTCCGCCGGCACATCCGTTGGGCTGCACAGAACAGGGAGAAGTAATTCTGCCGATTTTGTTTCTCTCATAACATGCAATATTAATATATTAGTTAAACTATTATATTGCACTTCAGGTTTGGAGACAGGCACTTTTCAATCTCAAAGTTTGCTCCACTCAGCGGAAAGTGCAAGACTGAAATTCCTAAACCTGTGTTTAAGACTTCAGCGTCCTTAAGATTTTAGGAAGCCTTTTCTTCTTAGCAACAACCACAAGAAAAAAAATCTGAGCCTCCTCTCATCTTTAGGGCTTAAGGGGAGGGAAATACCAGCACCAAGATATGAATACTTTTTTTTAACCCTATGTTGTTGTTGGTTTTTTTTTGCTGATCATACTCCAAGCCAAAGCAGCGACTGCACGTTCCCAAATGACTCTGCTGTCACTCTGCATTAGCGAGGGCTCCATGGTTGCTCCAGCATTATCAGGATCTGACCCTTTAGGTGTCCGCCTAAACGGATTAATGCCAACTTTTTTTTTTTTTTTGGGGGGGGGTGGTGTCTAGTGGCACGACAGTGGCTAGTGGCCTCAGCGAGGCTTTTGGGAGGTGCTGAGGAGCTGATCTTGCTGTCGCAGGCCAACAAAGGTCCTTAAAATAAAGACGGGCAGCTCCTGTTCGAGGCAGCGAAATGGGTGAACTTTGAAAGAATAGAAAGGGGGGGGGCAACAGGGGCAAAGCCAGAGGCTGGAAAGGGATCTCGGCAGCAGCGTTTTAAAGGAAGCGGAACCAGCTGGGATTCACCCAGGACAGAGATGAGCCAGTGGCAGCAACAGCAGAAGCTGCAGTTAACGTAAAGACGACACCCAACAGCAAAGCTCATGCCAAACCGCAGGTACCGACTTCACCAGAAGAGTTTTGGGAACCGGATTTGGATTTCCTTCCCCTAAACAGGATGCTAACTTGGTTTTATTCAAAAAGCAGTCTGTAATACACTTGCTTTTTCTAAAACCAGTGTCAGGTTTGCTTCCTGGCACTAAGACGACCCTGTTTCATTTTCAAACCATTTCTGTTACTGCCTAAGGGAGGCACCTGCCATGCAAACATATACAGCCACGCTCGAAGCACCGAAAAGAGCATACCATAATTCAAATACAGGCCTCCGGGGCTGAAACGAAGCCCTGCACCTGAAGAGCTAGCAAAGTGACCAATTTAGCCTGGAAATGAAAGTTCAGGCCCCGTTCAGTCTGGGGAGCCACAAATGAAACCTCTACCGAGCTAGAGATCACGCTCACACCGTGCATCTGCCTGGGCTTCCTATCCGTCTCTGTGCAAGCGTCCAGGGGCGGCTGCTGCCAGCAACCAGAGCGTCTGTGCAAGCATGCTGGCAGAGCGCATATGAACACGAACCGGCTTCACAAAGCCAGAATACAAAGGCTATTTTTACCCACCTCTGATCTTTACGTCCTCGGCCAACGCTTTCCGAGTCTTTTCTGCTTTTACAGCTAAGGGTTTCGGTTACTGCCCAAAAGCACTAAGTTGGCACCTTCCCTCCAGGCTGTATGCGCCGGAGACTGGCAGAGCCGCAGCTGCAGAGAGCTGGCGTTTGTGGACATTGCTTTTTCTGGCTGCTTTCTAAAGGTCTGCAAGGACTAGTTCAAAACAGACACCGGTTGAAGCAGCCTCCCGCTCTTTCAGTTTATGGAGCATCAGTGAAAGGGCAAGACAGTCAGAAGTTCAGAGGCACAATCATTTTCTTTATGGAAGGAAACCTTAGAGAGCAGTGAAGCAGTGGCTGTAAATATTCAAAAATATTTCAAGGGACATCTGTTTCCAGCAGTAACTAATACACACCCGTAATTCTTCACAGCGGGTGAGGGGGTGCAAACACTAGAGTAGGGCCCTGGAAAGACTGCAGGAGCTCCATCCTTGGAGATGCGCCAAACATGACTGCACAAGGTCCTGAGCAAGCTAGTCTGGCTGCTAAGTTGAATCTAACTTAAAGCTGGCCATGCCCAGGGCACAGGCTTGGACTAGAGACTCCAGCGGTTCCTTCCAACCTAAGTTATTCTACGATTCCTTCACAGCTAAGCATGCATGAGGATCCCTGTATAGCACCATGCACGGACTGCCTAGATATAGATGGACTGATGAAACTACGTGGGCTACATGAAACAGGTGACGAGACTTAAAAGATCCAAAGGTCCACTGTGGCCTCAGGACCCCAAACTAGTTGAATGCACTTTTCGCAGCTGCCTCAGCTAGTCGAGTTGTTTACTCGACCATCCGTTCGGCAAGATATTCAGAGTTTGAAACAGGGTTTGTAGACTGGCAAAGAGCACTCGCGGTTCAATAAGGGCTCTTCAAAGACAAAACCGTACCCTATCATAGAGGCAAGCCTGGTATAACCCTCCCTCATTTTTAAGTGAATTAGGACTATAGTATTTAGACTGGTGTGCAGCAACTTTTAATTCAGCATCTCACCTCTGAAGGACTGGGTTATACCACATCACATGGAACAGAAACGTGCACTTGGCGGGTAGCTTTCAAGTCACTATTTGACAAACGGCACAACCCAAAATAACCTGTTTTTGTGTTTTTAGAGTCTGTATCGCTTCGCTCACCCACCCATTTGCCTAGAAAGAAGCATAAAGTCAACTCTGTTCATGAAAATCTCACTTTGATCCTACCTTAACACCTTTACAGGAGCAAACACCCTACAGGCTGCGTATTTTGGATGTATGGGATCAGTGCCATGGAAAACATGCTCAATGCTGAGGCATGTGTTCGAATGTGAGATTCCTTACTCATCTCTTGACTGCTCATCTCATATCTGCATTCTGGCTTACAGGCTGTTCATGTGCCACTGGACAAAGAAAATCCCTGCTCTACATCAGAACAGGTAGGAAACCGTCTTAAGTTTCCCTGGGTAGTGCTGAAACTTAGTCACTACAGCAATGTTTTCTTCATGAAACACTGGAAAAATAAAATGCGGTAGGGTTTCAGAAATCCTCTTCTCAGCCAAGACCTCACCCACCACACAGGCAGTTACATGTCCTGCTTTGGCAGCACTGTATAACTGCAGCCCCACGACCTTTTTCAGACACGAGGCTGAACGCCATCATCTCCCGTTCCTTCCTGTTTCACATCCTGTAGCGCAGCCGATGTAACACACGGACACACCGGCCGCGTCCGACTGGCTTCCCTGACGGCCCTCCTTGGATTTGCAAGGAGACTCCGTTCCCCCGGCTCTGACAAGTACAACCAAGCTGATGTTACCTTGCAGCCAGCACAACCCCACTCAAAAGAGGGCCTGAGCAACACCGAATCGCCCAGGGCTGTGCCCTACATTAGGAAGTTGGCCGCCTCCTAGCTGGAGGAGCTTCAGTAATTTGGTTCGAGAGAGGCATGACAGACTTTTGTGCATACTGCCCACAGCTAAGTTGGTTTCCCAATTTTTAGGTAAGGAGCAGCACGTGGGAAACTCTCTGGTTACCAGAGCAGGAGTCTGAAATAGTTCCCCTCCCCAGGCTGCAGTGGTGGATTGATGTCCAGTTTTAAGCACAAAGTCAGCTTAGTTATAGCTTGTCTGCCTCAACATGTAACGCCACCCAGGCTCGAGGCTAACAGGAAAAAAGGAAAACAATCAAGACGGGAAAAATACCCTCCCTCTCTCCTCCACATCCTCCACTTAAGAATTAAACCCTCCTAATAGGCCATCAGAGCAGGAGGGGAAAAAAAAGCATCAGGAGCTCATTAAAGGTGGATTCCCAGGAGAAGCCATTCCTCTTTGTATCCACGTGCGATCCCAGAAGCAGAGCACTCCACGCTGACCATGTCCTGCGAGCCCGTGACATTCACTCTTGACCAGAGAAGCTTTTCTTCACCTTGCTCCTGCTCAGGCAATGGCCGTTGTTTTCTCCAGGAAATACGAGGCAGAATAGCGATCCAGGACTATCAGGCCCCTCTGGCTGAAATCCTCCTTGGGACACTCGCACTTACCTGAACTTACTGTTTAAACACACAGACACACACGGAAGCCAGGAAGCGAAGACAGTATCCTGGTGAGGTTGCTCCTTACCTTGTGTACACTTTTGGGATTTTCCAGCCAAGCATAGTACATTTCCTCCACATAGTTTGAACTAGTCCCACTCAAAAAAGGCTCAGCAGCCACAGGTGCGCTGTAGCACCTGATCTGTTGAAACGTCCTGGGTGCTGCTGGCCTGTGTTGGGAAATTGTCTTAACAGTCTGAGAGGCCGTCAACGGCCTCAATTTTGCTGCACAAGTCCTTAAGTTAAACATTTTTGTCCTGTAGCCTCACACAAGTTCCTGTTGGAATAGAAATGGAAAGCATTTTAGAAATTATCCAAGACACCGGAGGCCATAGACCACCTCCCACCCCTTCATACCATCAGCCCTTATGCAGCGCTTGGAGCCCGAGGAGGAGAAAAGACTTTTCACCCTGGCAGGAAAGCACGATTCGGGGACGCGACTTGGCCATACCACTTGGCTGTCAGCCACGTACCACTAGCAAAGCCACAAGCAACACCTGAGGCTCTGACACGCCAACCCAAGACCAAACCCACCAGACCAGGCTCTTGCATTCGACTGACCCAACACAAGACGGGAAGGATTTAATGGCAGAACGAGAACAGCGTTTCTTTTGCCTAGTGGTCCCTACCCTTTTGCTTCAAAGCACTCGGATACACCAGTCTAGGATGAGTTTTTATTTTGATTTCTTTTCACAACATACACAACTGTAGTTATTCACAATATACACAACTGTAGTTAACTTTACTGTCTCAGAAGCGAGTTACACAAGAGAGAAGAGTCTATGCAAAGAGGTGCGAGGTGCTGCGGTGGCCTGAAAACAGCTGGAAAGAAAAGTAGGATTTTTTTTTTTTTTTTTTACAAGTTTGTTGGCATAGGACACAGAGAGCAACCGGCGTCTCGTCACCCAGTCCCCAACGCAGGGACGTGGGGCAAGTTTTAAGACGACTTCACGGGGCGGCGGGGAGGGAAGACGAGCCGCGGACAGCAGCTTTCCCACAGTGCAATCGCAACTAATGAGAAGTGACGGCAGCACTTTCCAGCAAACTTTATTCCCGTTAACCCTCTTGGGAGCCCCAGCTGCCCTCGGTAATGCCCGGACTGCACGTTCCCGCGCTTCTGAAACAAGAAAAAACAGCGCTTCCTTGCGCCAGTGTGCACACTCAGCGTTTCACAACACGTGCCCCGCTGCTCGCGGCAGGAACGGGTCACAGGAGCGTCCACCTCGCCAAGACCACGATGGAAAAGAGCATAAAGCTGCCGGCTATTATGTGAAATTAAAGCCCAAGAAGTGTAACGGGAAACAGGTTACACATTTGGATTTGCCAGCCGAGTCTACGCAGGCTGAGGAACGAGGGTTTGCGAGAGACATCCCTCTTCTCGTTCTCCGTGGAGGGGACGCTGGGTCTTCTCCCTACCTTCTTCCCTGTGGACAACACAGTCATTGCCTGTAAAGAGGAATCTGAGCGGAAATGAGACACCGGTACAAAGTAGATTGCTTGGTGGGATGTGCAGAGTTGTCACCAGCTCAGCCACCGTGAGTCCAAGCTACCTGCACATTTTATATTAAAAAAAAAATCATAAAAATAAGGCATGTTTTACGGTGAAACGCGGCCCAGATTAACAGCTCCCCCAAAGGATCAAGTTGCCCTGGTGTTTTTTCCACATCGCTTCTCAGACCTACTCCATTTCCAATGAGTATATTAAGTATTTTTTGATTCTTCTTCAGACAGCCCTCTAGTTTTTACAGGAAAAAAAAAAACACTGTGTTAAACTCAGATTCCAACAGAAAGTGGACCCTTAAAAACCGTGGCCCTTAAATCTCCACTCTTTTTACGCAGTTTGAAACGTTTCTTCCAAATCCTTGAGATCCTGCCCTGCAAGAAAAGTCCATCACCTCGCAGGGACTGTGTGAAATTTGGGAATAACGGCTAAAAACAAGTGCCCTAAACAGCCATCGTTAGCAGAACCGGAATCGGTTTAAAGGCTCTCAGCGTCAGGAAGGCAGTGACCACAGAGTGACCTTCCCGCGCTGCTGAAACAAAAACCAAAAACAACCCAAAACAAAACAGGAAGCAACTTGGGCGTTTTAATCCTGCAACGCTGCAAGTCTGAGAAAAGGGGATCAAGGGGAGAAAGAAACTTTTAGAAAAAACAAACAAACAAACAAACAATCACATTTGCAAAAGCCAGTCATAGTAGCTTAAAGAACAAATGCCTATTGACCAGCTACCAAAACCGACAGCCATTCCTAGAGGAGCGTCGGAAAAAAATCGGTTAGCAGCTGGATTTTAATGCCGAATGTCACATTTTCCTTCCCGGCCTCACGCGGAGCTGATGGAGTCTAACAGTGTGAACCCTTCCAGGTCTGCACAAGTCACAGGGAAATAACTTTCGTTATATAAATGCAGCTTGGAAGCTTTTTCCTCTTTCTTCTTTAGAAGGCCTTGGCCAACAGCTGAACTGGAACGGCTCTTCTCAAGGCAATTTTTGCTGCATTACTCACTCAGCAGTCAGCGCGCTTCTGGCCTCATTCAGTCTAAGCCTAGTCAAACCGTAGCACCGTTAAGGTACGCGCGCCAGGCTCTTCATTGCGTTGCTCCTGACAATCAGGTATCTCAGGAAAGCCGCAAGAAATACTGAAGCTGTCACCCACGGGTGACCAAAGCTCATTACCAGATGGCACCCGCACAAGCCGATTTAGGCCTTCCCTTCGCCGGCAAGCGTTCAACCGCAACCTGACAGACGCTCCTTCGTTCGCGGGCTCGCGCCCGAAGGACGCAGGGACGCGCTCTCCGCCTTCGGCCTCCGACTTTTATTTTCTCTCCTTCACCTATCCAGGGCACGTTTTTCTGTTAGCAAATCCACAGCGAGAACCCAGCGAAGGCGAGGCGGTTTACGCTCCAGGGGAATTCAACGCAGGCTGCTCCCTCCTCTCTGGGAACGTTGCGCCGACGGGACGGCACGAACCTCTCCCTCCACCCCTCGCTCGATGCCTGCGGGGACCTCGCTGGACCTCGACGCGCCGTCTAACGTCTCTGCCGGTAGCGACACATCCTCCACCATCGCGGGGCACTTGCAGCCGTTGAGCTCAGCTTTGCTGATCCCAAAACAAGCTGCCCAAGCTTTGCTGAGGTTGTCGCCTCACGCTCATATGCGCTATGCGCGCCGCGATGAAGGTTTTCCTCCATCCCTGAGCAAAAGACTTAAGACGTGGGCTCCAAGACAGATCACTTAATCGCTGCTTCCCCCTAAAAGCGAAGCTCCGAGAAGGCTGATCCGAAAGATCTAGACAGGGGCTCAACCCTTTTAGACCTGCGCGCTGTGAGTGCGGTGCGGGAGGGGGGTGGGGGGGGGGGGGGGGGGGGGGAAAGCAACCCAGAGATCTGCGGGACAGCCACCTACTCTACAGAGACGTGACAAAGGCAGGGGTAGAAAAGCAGGGTCGGCAGGGTTAACTAAACTACCTCTTAAATAGACCCGATTGAGAACGACAGCCCGAGCTCAAAGGAAAGTGCTGGAACGCGATCACCTCGGGGAAAGTGCTGGCACCTGGGGACAGCTCTCCTTGGGCTTGCACTTTCCAGCTGCCCGGACTCCAGAGCCACCTAATTGCTCCCATAAGAGGCAGGATCCAAGGTCGGAGCTGACCCGAGCTGGCTCGTTTCCCTGTTCCCTACTAGTTTACAAGTAGCAGCCAAACGTCAGAGCAGCCATCACTCATTCAAGAGATAAAAATGAAGTTTCAAAGTGCAAGACTGAACTGAGGAGAAAAAGAAAATATATCTTTGTTACTAATGTTTCATCAGCCAGGCTCCCGGCCCCGGTTTGTTGAATCTAGTTCTGACTACTCAGCACCGCAGCAGCTAAGCTTCCCCTCTCAAAACACAGATTTCGGTCCAAAGAGCACTCGGGTTGATGCAACTTTAAACGCAGCAGCATCACGACTTGTTCGAGACAGCGACTGGTAGCTGCACCCCAATGGGAAACTCTATTTAGAAGCAGGAAACTGCAGCATTCGGCATTTCTGGGCCCTCATTAGTTGTAGAGGTTAGTTCAGGAGAGAAATTTAAACCAGCCTGAGGAAGGACCGAGATCACTCCACCGCTTCTAGGGGTTAACAAGAGCCAACACTTTTTACAGATTTCTTCAGGGGCAGGAGGAAAGACCATTCGTGCTTTCCACTCTGCTCTCACTTCTGCCCACAGTCGAATCAGACTGTAACTCACAGCTGACTTCGGAGAAACCCAAACTTAGTTTACAGACAGAGCATTTTGACCCGGCAAGAAACGGCAGCAAAGCGCAGTACAGCGAGCGTGACAATGTTGTACGACCATTGGATGTTTTCTCCGCTTATGATTCATCTCCCTGAGCTTTAAGCAGCAAAATACACAGAGATACTTTAGAGAGCACACTGAATCACGTGCCCATGGCCAGGCGCACACACGCATGGAAAAAAAAAAAGCTGCAGGACTAAAGCTTCAGAGTAGTCTCTAGCTTTGGTATCCAATTTCAGTTCTGCTGAGCACCCAGGGACTCTGCGACGTCTCCGGAAAACTGGGGTGCCTAACCCTGGAGTTCAACCTAAAACGAGCAGAACCGCCGTGTCTTTGAGGGTCTCCTGGAAAGGGATCGCTGCCAGGATTTGGGAGAGCCCAGGCTGTGTCGCAGCAGAACCAAGCCTGTATCGGAGCAAGGATGCTTCCGAGTGAAATCCAAGTAGCGTAGCAACGCGTAGGAGCAAGGACTCAGGAGAACGAGCCCAAAATTACTGATATGGGAATAGTACCTTAGTACAAGGCTTCACGCACAAAGTTACCCTGCTTCAACTCAAGTGGTATTAAGGAAAAAAAAGAAAATCCATTGGTTGTTGACCAGGCCCTTACTGCTAAAGCTGGATTAGAACTCAAATTCCCACTTCTCAGTCTTGTGTTTTCACTGAAAGGTCAAACAACAAGAATATTCATAACAGATTAAGGGCTCATACATTCAACACTATACCATTAAGCAAAGCGGATTAAGCTACTAAATTTGACCTCTGACAGCCAGAATCAGTGAAACCTGCCCCAGAAGACACTTAATTGGGCATTGCTTTTTTGCTTACAATCAAAACCACCAAGTAAAGGATAAGAAAGAATTAAATACTTGATCAGAGGAACAGCCAAGCGGTTCATCAGTACACCTAACTTAACGTATGGAAAGCATAGTAAGAGAGGAAGCCAACTTTTGAGTGCCTAAGTGCTAGTGCTTGCGGAGCGTGACCGATCCCAGCCTTTACCTAGTGCTAAACGCATGGGTCCGCTTGGCAGGAGTATATAATGACATCAGAGTTTTGATTTACTATTTATTCTATAAGCCAAAGTACGAAGAGTAACAGTTTTTACTCCTTTTTGTTAGGAGCGTGGCGTATTTGGCATGAAGGAAAGTGACACTGTTGTAATAGCCAAGAGAAACACATATTTATAATATAAATATATGCATTCAACAGCATCTCAAATGAGTCAGTTCCCTCTAACTGTTTAGTCTGGTAGTCATGCCAATTAAATATCAGACATATTACTATACTATCAAAACACTGGGAAATGAAAATGAGGGGGGTTTTTTTAAAAAAAAAAAAAAAAAAACTTGCATATCTGAAAGCTCATGAAATTCCCATTAGAAAGCAGATGGGCTTTAACATACTGCGGCTAGCAGATCTAAAGAACGCATGCTGCTTGAATTGAAGCTCTAGAGGAAGAGGTTTTGAAGGTATACGCAGTATATTCTCGGCAGTCGCGCAGGCACGACCGGGTGAGATCCCTTCAGGCTCTGGCGCGGCAGAAACCGGGTACTTGCTCCAGAAGAAGCTCCTCGCCACCTTTCCGCCACCGAAGCCCAGGTGCAAGCGCCTCGCACCTGCGGGCGCTGCGGCTCCGGGGGAAGCGCTCGGCCTCCAGGAGTCCTCAAGGGCGGCGCAGGCCGGAGCGGGGCGTCG